AAGTGTGATACCATATGGAACCTACAACCAAAGGCAGGTATATGCTACTATTTGAGGAAGATTTTGAATAATAGAAACCTATTTGCCGGAATGGGGTGTAATGGGGATTATTCTAGTCAGAAAGGGTATGATTGGCTCATGGGGGATTGCAGCATGTTTAGGGCATATCAAACAGTATGGAATAAGCTCTCTATTCCTAAACATCAATTCTTCCAATGGTTGTGTTGGAAAAACAGAGTACCTACGAAAGACAGATTGAACAAATATATGGAGATGGACACAACCTGTGTGTTGTGTGAAAGTGGGATTGAAGATCAGCAGCATTTATTCTATGAGTGTGCTTATAGAAAATGTGTCCAGAGTATTGTTGGCAAGTGGTTGCAACACCAATGGAGGGCGAAAACTAATGAAGAAATGCTGGAGGAAGTCAAGATGATCAAGGGAAGGCTGCAAAGACAAACGGTAGAAGCTGGATTTGCAGCAGTATGCTATGCGATATGGCATGCTCGTAACTCCAAAATTAAGCAGAATAATATTATACCCCCTGACGAATGTAGTGTTTGGATTAGGGATCATGTTAGAGTTTATATTAATACTAAGTTAAAAAAGGTGTGGCTAAGCTAGGGATGCTTGTTTAGCCTTGCTGTGGTTGCTTAATTTGTACTCGTTTTAGTTGATGTGGTGAATAAAAATTGTGTGCATTTGTTCAAAAAAAAATAATCATAATAATAAGCGTAATTATAATAATAATAAAGGTAAGTTACAAAGAAACTGTATGTTGCTATTTCAAGAGTAACAAATCATGGAGTCTTGAAGATTCTGATATGCAATGAAGACAGTGTTCACACAAATAGTACTAATAATGTAGTTTATACACAAGCCTTTCGAATTTTTTAAGCAAAAAACTTTTGTACCTTAAAATAATAAAATTTCTATATTTTATTAGACATAATTTTCTATCATTCAAAAAAGATCTTAATTTAGTAACGTAAATATAACCCGTGCAACTAGGCCTGTCAATGGGTCGGGTTCAGGCCGGTCCATAGTATTCTATTCCGGTACACTCTTTAAATAATAGATCCTGATCCGTACCCGTTTACCCGATGGGTCTTGAAGTTTAATCCTAGATTTGGACCCATTGAGTCTCGGTATCGGATCGAATATACCCATGATAAAAGTTGACTTCTTTTATTTTTGTATAATTGAAAAACAATTAATCAAAATGCTATGAATGAATTTTTTTTAATTGAATACAAATAAAAATAAGACTAATACGTTACTGCAACAAAAGTCGGTAACTTTCCTAAAAAATCTTAGTATCATAATTGCCCTTCTTGTCACATTCATTCATGTCGCAAGAATGTTCTTTATAACATTACAGCTAATTCCAAACGATTTATTTAACACTATTGCATAAAGCAACATTTACATGCCTCTAATGTGGTGAAATAAATACAAATAGATTTGGAAGCCACGCAACCAGCGAAAAAAGGGGTTGGTTTTGTAATATTTAATATTATTTATTTATTTAACTGGTACGAGTTTTAAACGGGTCGGGACTACTCGTCCTATACCGACCCTTTATTTTTTAAAAATAAAGGGTACAGATTCAAGTTCGGGTAAACATTATTTTTTATATTCCTAACCCCGCTAAAAAATTACGAGTATTAGACGGGTTCGGATCTATACCCGACCCATTGGCAGGCCTACGTGCAATGTACAAGTGTGATACTAGTTAATTTGGAATGTAACATGTACACCAAAAAGCTAGATAGAACGTTACATATACACTCGTCGTCGGCCAGATACTTGACATTCGAGCTAGAGGTACCTTTTTGTTACATTAGAGCATATGCAGCGGCGAGTTTTCATCTACCTCGCCCTGCCACATCATACACTTAGAGCACTAGAAATACGTATGAAGCCCCGGGGCTTCAAACCGGGGCTTCAAACTCTCTCTCTACCACGTCAGCTTTAACTTACACAAAAAATTCACTTGAAATGGGTTTGAAGCCCCGGGGCTTCAAACTGGGGCTTCAAACCTTCATTATTTACATTTTTAAATATACATCTTCTAAATTTAAATTAATAAATTTAAATTAATTTATTATTTAGGGGCTGTTTGTTTCAGCCTCTTAATGGTTCAGATGTCTGAATGATTCAGCACTTAATGGTTCAGATTGTTTGTTTCAGCCTCTTAATGGTTCAGATGTCTGAATGGTTAAGAGATTTGCCTCTGAATGGTTAAGTATTATACAGAGTCTGAATGGTTAAGAGCTGTTATCTGAATTGATCAGACATTTGCCTCTGAATAGTTAAACAATATACTAGCTCTTAATGGTTCAGACCTCTTACTGGTTCAGCACTTAATGATTCAGACCTCTTACTGGTTCAGCACTTTAAATTAATCACAATGAGACTAGTGCATTAAAAAAATTACATTCATTAAAAAAATAATTAAAAAATTACATTAATTAAAAAATGAACATTTAAATAAAAAATTACATTAATTAAAAAATTAAAACAAATTATATTTAGGTTTAATCTCGTTATGTCTGCTCTCGAAAGAAAATTATATTCGTTTGGTCGTTTGACTCGAGACCGGACAAAGGATCATCAAAAATGAAGAGATTCATGTTAAAAAGATGAAAAAAATTGAATATTTTTTTTAATTTGAAGAAGATAGAGGAAAAGATTTTGTGGGTGTTTAATTTTAAAAAAATTAAAGAAAAAAGATTTTGTTTGTGAGTTTTATTTTTTAAAAAAATTGAAGAGGAAAATATTTTGTGGGTGTTTAGAGGAAGAGGTTTTTTTTAATTTGAAGAAAATAGGGCAAAACGCCCGTTATAAGTTTGACGCAATGCATATAACGCTCGGATGAAGCCCTAGGGGGCGGTGTTTAACGCCCCTGGGGCGTTAAAAATGCAATAACGCCCACTGGCGTTACATGCATACCCAGTGGCCTTACTCGATTACCAAGGGGAGGAATGGGCGTTCCACCCAGGTGAGCGAGGCATGTATTTTTTTTTGAAGAAATACGGTGTAGCAAGCATTGAAATAAGAAGAAAAAAGCTGCGGACGGATTGGTGTTTTTTGATACAAAAATGTCTTTATTTTTTGTAAGGCATTTAAATAAATTAGATAACATATTTTTAAATTTTTTTAATAAGGAAAAATAAGATTTTTTTAATCTTTTTGAATAATAAGGAAAAACAATACTCCTATTTTGAAATAAATGTTATAGAAGTATTTTTATGATCAAATAAATAATTAAAATCATTTTTATTAATTAAAATACATTAAAAAGTTGTAAACAATAATAAAAAGAGTGACTTGTCATTGCAAGGAATGTCATTCCACTCATTTGCCACATGATAACAGAACTGATTTTAATTGGTAAAATACTGCACATCATTAGCATTTCGTTTTGAGCAATGCTAAGCGTACACCAAAGGTGTACTCCATTTGTCCCTCATCCCTTTCTCCACCATTCAATTTTATTTTATTTTTATTTATTTTATTTTTTCTTAGTTTCTTGCGTTTTTTGTGGTGAGGGAGGGATGGGGTATTGGGGTAGGGTACTTAGCATTTTTCTTTCGTTTTTCCATTGCTCGTGCTTTTGGAAAAAGCCCCTCCTGTGACTCCCCGTCTCACGGAATAAACTGTAGAAAGGCCGCAGCAGCCAGCAGCGCAGCTCCTACCCGTTCCCAGCCGACACTCCATTACCGGCTACGTCTCGTTCCTGTGACTGCCTCTCGTTCGACCTCCCTAAGGTAAGAGCTCTAATTTCACTCTCAATATTGCTTTTTTTTTTATATAATGAAACACTCCAACCCTTATTTTTCTTCCATTATCTTAAGATAATTTATACGGCGCAATGTCTGAATTTTTACATTCAGAATATTTTTTTCGTAATGGTGAAGGCGATGAGGTGGGATTATTTTTTCAGACTTATATATGAAACTCTTTCAGTTTTTAATATTTTTAAATGAAGGGTTGAACAAGAATCTGCGGATTAATTGTTCTAAAATTCCATTTTTAAAATTTCTTAAATGAAGAGTTGAACGACAATATGTTAATTATTTTTTCTAGAATTATAGAAACAAATTCTTTTTTTTATTACAAATTTTGAAACAGATTCAGTTTTCTAAAGAATTTCAGTTTCATTTTTACAAATTAAAATTTTAATTATTGAACTTAAGCTTTGATGACTGATGAGTCATGGGTGATAAAGCTCGGACTACAGTAGGGTGGAAACTTTTGTTTTTGCATTAATCACATGCTGGATACTGGATTCTGTTTTCTTTTGGTTTCATTTCAGTGTGTGCTAGTTAATCTTATACTTCAACTGCAGTGTATTGAGAGCATACAAGCATAAGGGGGGGACCTACAGGCTTAGAAAGAGGAAGGATCATTTGACCATTCTATAGCAATTGGGAGTGTATTGGATTAAAAAATAAAACGGTTTCATTGTCACCAACTGTCGTGACTGGTCGCTTGGACGAGGAAATGCTTCTTAGAACCAAGTCTTCTCAGTTCCAAAGATCCACTACCCTCCCTGTGGAAATATCCTATAAGCAACAGCATCTGCTTTTGTGCATCACGGAAAATTTCTTACATTTCCTGCAACAATGCGTTTCCACCAAACAAGTCCAACAAATCCACGCCCAGTTACTCGTTCACTCCATTCACAAACCAAACTTTCTGCTGCGCAAAATCATTCAGCTCAAAGACTCCAGTTATGCCAATCGTTTCTTCTCCCACATCCCGTCCCCCAACGAGTATGGTTTTAACATAATGATCAGAGGCCACGCTACTACTTGGCAGCATTTCGATTCTGCTTTAGAATGTTATTGCAAGATGAAGTTTGTAGGCTTAAAACCGGATAATTTTACATACCCCTTTGTGTTCATATCTTGCGGGAGTCTTCCGGCTGTTGACCTAGGGAGATTAGCTCACTGTGAGGTGGTGAAGAACGGGCTATGTTTGGATCTTCACGTTAGCCATTCGTTGATTACGATGTACTCAAAGATGGGTAAGTTGGGACACGCACGCAAGGTGTTTGATGAAATTGTTGACAGAGATTTGGTGTCATGGAATTCGATGATTTCTGGGTATTCTCAGATGGGTTTTGCCAGAGAGGCTGTGGAATTGTTTGGGGATATGAAGAATCAGGATGTTGTACCTAATGAGATGACACTTGTGAGTGTTCTTGGAGCATGTGGCGGCTTGGGGGACTTGAATTTCGGGAGGTGTATTGAGCTCTTTGTTCAAGAAAATAAAATTGAAGTAAATTCATATATAGGCTCTGCTTTGATTAATATGTATGGGAAATGTGGTGATTTGGTTTCAGCTAAAAGGATCTTTGATGGCATGAAGAAGAAAGATGTAATAATCTGGAATGCAATGATTTCAGGGTGAACCCTCTCTCTTTTCTTACTTCTGGCAAGTGTGTGATATATTTTCATTCTCCTTTTTCCCGGAAATGATTATTTTACACTGTGCAATACATGTATATCTATGCCCTAGTTTGTACTGGAGTTTCCCACTTTTGCGTAAATTACATTACTTTATTGTGAAAACCTATCAGATCTATTATTATCAGAAATTACATGGTGACACATATTCATGGTGTTATTTATACTTTCTAAAATGCATACCTACCTGAAATGTATAAGAAATATGATATTCTTACCTAGAAAACATCTGCCCCTTAACATAGAGACCTGAAAATGAGTGGCCGTGTCTGTTAGGCTGATAACAAAAGGGACTAGTAGGAGGGAAACTTCCATTGCTATTCAGTAGTTGTTGGCGGCACTAATGGTTATCAGCGTTATAGATACGAATGATAGCACTTCCGATAATCGTAGGAGATAAAGATTATGATGGTATCGCACATGTTACGAAGTGTGAGAGTAGTGTGGGATATCTGACGATAGTGGTGAGAGGTCAATAATCGTGGTAGGGAACATCAATGATTGTTTAGAGTTTTGAAATACCAGTTTTTTTTTGAAAAATAAAAATCGCATTTTCTTGTTTTGTCAGAAAAAACTGAAAAATTGGAGAACAAAATTTGGGAACAGAAAATTAAGCATGTGTTCAGTTTCTCTGCTTTTGAATTTAGAAAAGTAGATGCTTTTCGAGAAATTTCAACTTTTCGGGGTAGTAATTGCTCATGTATTTCTTGTTCTATGATAATAATTTCTTAGTCACTTTTCCATTTTTTTATTTCTGTGCAATCTCACCTTGATAGTATTTATATGCTTGACAGATATGCTCAAAATGGATTTTCCGATAAAACAATTACTTTATTCAACACCATGATGGAGGAAGAAATTCACCCTAATAAAATCACACTGATTGTGGTGCTATCCGCATGCGCCTCTATTGGAGCCTTAGATATTGGAAAATGGATCGATGAATATGCATCACGGAAAGGATTGAAGCATGACGTATATGTTGGTACAGCGTTGATTGACATGTATGCAAAATGTGGAAGTGTGGACTCTGCACACCATATCTTTGAAAGCATGGCCAGGAAAAATATAGCCTCATGGAATGCAATGATATCAGCTCTTGCATTTCATGGAAGAGCCCTTGAGGCACTGTCTCTATTTAATCATATGTTGGCCGGGGGTGATGTTGACCAGCCAGATGATATCACATTTGTTGGGGTCCTTTCAGCATGTGTGCATGCAGGATTGGTCGATGAAGGTTACCGAATGTTTAGTTTGATGAGATCTTATGGTCTTGCTCCAAAAATTGAGCATTATGCTTGCATGGTTGATCTTCTGTCTCGTGCTGGGTGTGTGGAGGAAGCATGGGACTTAATTGAGAAGATGCCTGAGAAACCTGATGAGATTTTATTAGGTGCAGTGCTTGGTGCCTGCAATAAGGTAAAAAATGTTGAGATTGGTGAGCGAGTCATGGATCTTATTCTGAATATGGAACCATCCAATTCGGGTAATTATATTATTTCTTCAAAGATTTATGCATACATGAAGAGATGGGACAAATCTGCGAGGATGCTTAAATTGATGAAAGAGAAAGGGGTGACTAAAACACCTGGCTGCAGTTGGGTTGAGATAGACTCTCATGTTTTTGAATTTCTTGCTGGTGGTTCATTAAATCAATATGCGAAAGAAATTTATGAAGTTCTTCAGTTGCTATATGAGGAGATTAAGCCAGAAGCTGACACATCAACAACTGACTTTGCATAAAAGTCATAATTTTGGACATGCTCTTTGATATTGCTGATGATTTTGTCTGATGTATGCTTAAAATCAATACTTAGCAGTTGAAAATGTCAGAATGTTACAAAATAATATTGCATGCATAAGATTCAACATCCATGATTGATGGTGTCTTAGCTGCTTCGATCTGACCATGCTTAAAAGAGCACATAACAGGTTTGTTTTTTTTCAGGAATGAATTTCAATATGATGTATAATAATTTTGCATATCACAACCGGAAAAGACAGCTTAGACTATGAATATAGAATGGACTGGCTGCATAGAAATCTATCCAACTGACAATTTGTAAGAACTGGTGCGATGTAATCAAACATTATGATATGTGGTACTATTTGTTAATTTTGTTTAACATTTAAAATCAGCTATATTATAATGAAAATGATGTTAGTTCTTCCTTTTTCATGTGTAGTCTTTGTATTCGCTCACCTTTGTGATTAAATTTTTTTTGTAACTGATTGAACTCCAAGATTTGCCTCACTTCGTATAGGTGACAAGGTGAGCATGAATGTTTTATATTAATTCAATAGCATTGAAATTTGAAATTGTGCATTTTGCCAATTTTGAATGGGGTTCTGTTTCACTAAAAAAACTCAGGATAAAGCTTTAGAGCAGCTCAAGGTGACAGAGAGCAAACCTGTTGCTGTTGGGCAGAAAATGGACCTGGTATTTTATACACTCCAGAGGGGTTTCTTTGACATGGACTTTGACCAAATATCAAAAAGCATTGACAGGGAAAAGAAGTATGGCCATGTGGGAGAAGGAAATCTTTAGTGAAGTTAATTTCTGGTGCTGTAATTATTCTTAGTGATTCTCATTTTTTTCTCATAATTAGTTCTTATTTGCTTGAATGGAAGCCTATTTGAAAAAGGGGGTTATTGGGAAAGGAAGAACCGGTTCAAGGTCTATGAAGGACTTTTCTGCATGTCAACCCGCAACTTCAAAAAAGGAGCTAACGTTTTCCCTGATTCTATCTCAACTTTTACCACCTATGAGCTGTTCCGTTAAGATGCTTTTGTATTCTATGTTGTTCTTCAAGCATTATTACATTGTATCGTGTTTGCCTGAAGCAGAAGGTAAAAATCTGTTCTTTAAAATATATTTCCTTTCTTTTTCTGAATTGATGCTTTCTTTCCATTTAATATTCCTTTTATAATGCTTGCTATATGCTACAGATAGCAGATGCACTCATGCACCAGAGATCTTCACAGTACAAGGCATTCATCTCCGTCTTTTGTAAGTTTATTTATTTTTTGTCAGAGGTCTTTCCTTTTATTTGTGTATGTGATAATGTGTTATTGCCAATGAAGTTGTATTAACGTTAATGGTTCATATCTCATACCTTGTAGCATGAGACCATTGCAGATATTTCAAATTATGGGTTGGGTTAGAAAATGATTGTTTTAGTTTTGGTTGAAGGCTTCTGCTTTTAAATATTTTTTTAGAATCTTAGATCCAGTGACATGGAAGGGTTGAAATGTTGTTCAAAGCCTAGAGCATTCAAAAGGGGTATTAATTAGATGTGTCCTACATACAATAATCTGGGCATGATTGAGGTTACTATCATCATATACGATTCCAATACCCAAATACTTGGATGTAATATATCTCCGAAGTATATAATGCTTAAAAAGGACAGATCGATTAACTAACTTGATTACTCAATTGGATTCGAAATTGGTGGAGTAGAGACTAGAGAAAATGTGTTATGTATGCCTCGAGTGATGTGTGGGACTAAAGATCTATGAAACAACTAAACTTTAGTCCCAAGTGAGTAGGGTTGGGGCTATACAAGATGGTTCACCCATAGTTATTAACATAGTTATTACGGCGTCGCCTAGGCGTCCAGTCGGAACTTTTTTCTGGCCATGCTCCTTCGACTCGACTTAATTTCCGGAGCTCGCCTAGTCGTCGCCGCAGAGACGCCTAGACATCCAGTCGGTATGCCTGGGGCGACTTACGCCATGAAATAAAAAAAATTCCTAGCCCAATTGATCTTAGATGTCCTTCTCTGGAGCTGAATTGGGTAGTTGTTCTGTCTGCCTCACATCCTTCTTGACTTCGGAAATCCAGCCTGGGAATTACGATCGACTTATTGTTTGCGATCTTGTCGGATCAGATGCGAGAGAGCCGAGAATTAGGATGCTAGCCAACCCGACCCGACCCTTCAATTTTGACGGAATTCTTAGCTACTAGCACTATTCCCGTATGACTATTCCAATATGACTTTGTATTTAGGCTTTTCAGCTTCTCTTAAATTCCCAGCCACTAGGACTTCCTATTTTCCTTTAAAATTAACCCTATATGCGTTATGTTTTACTATATATTTTCTGTAATTAGAAGATGTCTTCTATCAATGTTTTCATATTTTATTTTTTATTTTCTATTTCTGAAAAAACATATAATATAATATAATATAATATAATATAATATAATATAATATAATATAATATAATATAATATAATATAATATAATATAATATAATATAATATAATATAATATAATATAATATAATATAATATAATATAATATAATATAATATAATATACGCATACGCATACGCATACGCATACGCATACGCATACGCATACGCATACGCATACGCATACGCATACGCATACGCATACGCATACGCATACGCATACGCATACGCATACGCATACGCATACGCATACGCA